TGATGCTAAGCATGGGAGGGACCATTTAGAGGTCATATGACTCTACACTTTTGGTTGCCAGCTCCCCAATTATCACCCCATTCCATTATCACCAGTATCAGAGAGATCATTACCACCCAGACATACACCTGCACCTCGGAATAGCTTTGGTTTTCCCCAGTTCTTTTCCATTCTCATTCACCTCCACCTGAGGAGGTGCTCTGTGGATGCTCCCGCTGACTCTTTGGCTGCCAGATTATCTAACTGGGGATTTCTTTTTCCTTTTTTTCTTTTTATTGAATCACCATGAGATAGAGCATTCCAAAGTTGTTAATGATTGGGTTCCAGTCATACAATGTTCCAACACCCATCCCTCCATTAGTGTAATTTCCCAGAACTTTCCCTCCCATCCACCCCCAAATCCCTTCACCTCAGCCTTTATGGCAGGCATCTCTCTGTGTCTGTCTGTCTGTCTGTCTGTCTGTCTGTCTGTCTGTCTCTCTCTCTCTCTCTCTCTCTCTCTCTCTCTCTCTCTCTCTCCCTCATCTCCCTTATTTTAGGCATTATGGTTTACAATATTGAAAGATTATTCATGCATATCCCTTTACCTACTTTCAACACTCAGTTCTTGTCCAGAGTAATCATGTCCAACTATTGTTGTCATACTGGACTCTCATCTATCTTAACTACCCTCCATACCTGGGAGTTTCTTGACACCACACACCTTGAACTTGAACATATCTCTAGCTAGAATCTGTGGTTAAAGGGTCTTTATAGGCTGCCAAACTTTTGCCTTTCTTAGGTGATGATGTTCTTGATCAGAATTAAAGTGAAAATTAAGACTTCAGTTTAGTTACATGTAACTTCAGGACACAGAGAGAAAATCTCTACAACCTGCTGTCAGATACTACAACCAAAAATTATGTCGTCCCCACATTCTCCAGTTTTGACTACAAGCAAGCATTCCACTTCCTTTGATGGTCCCTAATGTGTCGAAATTTCATGCTGTCTGGCCACTAGGTGACGTGTTGTCTGGAAGAGCTCTGTGTGGCACCAAGCCCACAATAGTCCTACTCTGATGTTGTACAGCCTTAGGACAGAGCAGATTCTCATTCAAATGAGCTCACAATCCTATAATCTTTTATTTGTTTTTAGGTCATACCCAGTAGTGCTCAGTGCTTGCCCCTGACTCTGAGCTCAGGGATAACTCCTGGTGGGCTTGTGGGACCATATGGGGTGCCAGAAATCGAACCTGGGTCTGTGGCTTGCGAAGCAAGCATCCTACCCCACTGTACTATTGCTTCAGACCCACAACCCTACAATCTTGTTTAAGAATTATGTGGTCCTCAGCACTCAAAAGGAGAGAGAAAACAAAAGGGAATGCCCTGCCACAGAAGTAGAGTGGGATGGGGGGGATGGAGAGTGAAAGGGATACTGGGATCAGTGGTGGTGGAGAATGGGCACTGGTGGAGGGATGAGTATTTGATCATTGTATAACTGAAACCCAAGCACAAAAATTTGTAAGTCTACGACTGTACCTCATGGTGTTTCACTAATAAAAATTTGAAAAAAAAAAAAAGAATTATGTGGTTCTATGGGTGCACAGGGAACTCAGAGTCAACCAACATCCCCACTTTCCTTTACTCAAATCATGTCTTATTTGCTATCATGGCAGAAAAGCAGATGACACATCAATTAACCATCTAAAGCAATAGTAGTATGTTATTTAAGGGAACAATTACAGAGCAATGGTAAGGAGGCAATATCTTGCTCTAAAGGTGTCCATTTAGACTGGTGGGAAAGATGAGGGGTGAGGATAATGCTCAGGGCATAGGGTTCCTTCACCTGAACATGTGAAACGTGAAGCACTCCATTCTGCAACTCCCAGGCCCTTGAAGTTTCTATGTTTGGAGCCATCTGTTTTTCAAAGCAGCCAGAGGTTAAAAACAGGCTTAGTGAGATAACTGGCATCATTCCTCCCATGCTTGCCAAGGAAGCAAGAAAGGAATACCTCATTTCAAAAGGAAAATCCTGTGTTAGTCAAAGAAAGATGAGAGGCAGCTCCCTTACTCTGAGAATGACCTGGAACTTCTTTTAGCATGGTGAGCTTGGATAATGAGCTAACACGGTAGAAACCAAGGCAAGAGCATACTGAGCGATCTCTCATCCTGGGCTCTGGAAGCATATTAAAATGAAACTCCTTGACTTTCTGTTTGGTTTGAGGCTGCAAAGTACTCATACTTTCAGGAGATGTGCAGGTTTTGCAAAAAGACACACTGGAAAGATCTCTAGGTGGCCACCCAGATCCAGCCAAAGGCACAACTGGACTAGAAAAATAGATTAACTAGAGGAGGCATTGTGGAGAAAATCACCCAGCATGCTCCCAAGGCCTTCTGCATGTCTATGTCCCTGGGGTTTGAGATAAACCATGATTTATTGCTTGATTCCTGTGAGAAATCAAAGTCTGACTACTCAGACAGCAGAGCAGAGGAGAGGGGCCTACAGGGATCCGCTTACAGACCCAGTTGTTTGAGCAAAGGATGGTGAGTTTCTTAGGAACCAAAAGGCATAGGAAGAGCATTGAGAAGTGAAATCACCTGAGATTCCTTCCATGGGTTAGGTTGGAGATGTAAAGGGACCAAGGAGAAAGAAACTAGAGAGTTTTCCCCACCACCAATGCCCCCCGCCCCCAGCCCTCCTCAAACTCCCACCTACTTGGAAGCTGTGGAAGCAATTGAATGACAGACCAGGAAGAGTTAGATGCCCAGGAAAATGCTGGTGAGAGATGGTGAGGTCACCAAAGGGCCCAAGTAAGAACCCAGAGGATGAGGAGCTCTTAACAGCTGTCCAAAGCTCAAGGCTAGAGTGCAATGCACAGCAATATTGAAATTCTGCCACCTCTAGCCTCACCTCCTCCCCCTACTCTGATCATAGAGAATATTATCTAAAAGAGGGAGAGACAAAAACACAAGGTTGAGGGCCATGAGTGGAGTAGAGGAGAAGCCACCAAGTCTGCCTTTTCTGCAGAAGCAAGCCTGAGTGGGGAATGAGCAGAAACTAGGTGTCAGAGTTAAAACCTAAAGATTGATTATCACCCTGTTGGGGACACATTCACTATCGAATACAGGATGTTCTGTTACCTAAAAGGAGCCCAGAAAAATTTCAAGATGTGTCCTAAATTTCACTCAAGGACAAATGAGAAGTAAGCTCACAGGAAAATTTTATTTTATTGATTGATTATGTGGTATCTGGGATTGCACTCAGGGCAAGTATGCAATTCAAGGCAAGTGTTCTACTGCTAAATTACACCCTCCTTCATCACAGGATAAGTGTAAAGAAATGGAAATAAGAATTATGTAGTTTTATGGTTATATCCCAGAGGTCATGGCTTGTTCAGTGAAACAACGATCCAAGCATCTGAGAAGCAAGATTAGGCCATTCTTGTTACTCTCGTTAGAAGATTCATTAGAAGATACATTAGCTTGAGAATATATTCCTGAGTCAGTGAAGGTTGACAGAAGAGTACAGATTCAAAGACTTTCAGAACCAGGAGAAACATTATTTATCAGTAACTCTAAATCATCATTTAACACAGGAAATGAAAACCTGATTTTCCCAAACCCACAGACACAGACATCAGGAAACATGTAGGAGCATACAGTGACAGCTCATGACAGCCATATTTCATTAGGTGCCTTCCTTCCTAAAGGTTGAATTCCTTCCAGTTTCCCAGGTCTCTAAGAGATTAAAGTAAAATTGTAGACAAGGTACCTGACACTTCCTGAGATACTCCAGGCTAAGATTCTGAATTTACTTTCTCTGTCGTCCTTCTAGGTTTAAGACATAGCCAATTTTTAGGGGAAGAAGGGTCACACCTGACAGTGCTCAGGATTTACTCCTGGCTCTGCACTCAGGGGTCATTCCTGGTGGGGTTTGGGGAACCATATGGGGTGCTGGGGATCAAACCCAGGTCATCTGTGTATAAGGCAAGTGTACTATCTCTCCAACCCCCAAGAAACAGGCACTCTTATTGTAAATGTCCCTTTGGGGAATGCTGTCAGTCCGTAAGCACATAGTCATGGCTGTATCCATTTTTCATTAATCACAGTAGCCACTCAATTCTTCAAAAACTTCCCAAACTCACATATATAACTTATCCTAAGACAAGTCCTTGCATTGTATTTTGAACAGAAGGTTCAGCGAAGGTTTTACAGAAGGAGATAATGACTAGATTTAAATTTCTCTGTTTGTAGGTCCTTAATAGATCAGCACTACCACTTCCAGAGAAAGGGAAAAGGCACTTTATGCTCCTCATTGGGACCCTGGAATCCAGAACCCAAAATCATGTTCCATGCTCTGCAAAGGGGGAAAGGAGCATCCCCTAATGGCCTCTCACCTCAGGTAGTCAACGCTGTGGCAAGTTTGCCTACCTGTCCTTGCCACTCTTCATGCAGACCACTTCCCCAAGTTGAGTTAGTCTGGGATAGAAGGGAAACATGTGATGTGGGGGTTGCTTTGCATTCTGGGATGAGAGATAAAAACACTCTCCCTGGAACATGTATTTGATGTAGCTTGGTCTAGTCACTGCCATCAGACACACAATTACACTCTAGATTGGCCTTCAACATCTGAGGCCTGCAGGAAAGACCCATGCCTTAAATTTTCTTCTGGATTTCTTAGTTCCTTCATTTTACAATCCTCAACTTCTCAATAGCAAAGAATAAATGCTCAAGCATCTTAGCTTGAGGAGAGTGAAACTATTAAAAATACACATTGTGTAAGAAGATCTGGTACATTAACTGAACTCAGAAGATTAACCCTGAACACTATAATGGAGGATCTCCTCCTAATGAAACTTGGGGATCACCTAGTGGCCTTTGGTCCTCAGTCCCATGACTCCCCGAAGACCCAGAGATATAGCCTCCAGGCCTTCAGCAGGTATTCTATGAAGTGCTAAGAGACTAATGCCTCAAGGGCACCAGGGACCCGAGGGCAGTGAAAGACATCACTGGAGGACTTACCTGACTTCATCCTGCCTTCCTCCTCCACCTGGGCTTCCTGGGAAACCCTGTGGCCCCGGGGGAAGGGCTGGTGGCTGAAGAGGTCATCACACAGGAGGCTCCGACACAGCTTGGTGAGGAAGCGGAGGATATAGCCCAGGCTGTTCACCACAGGCAGACTCCGCAAGTGCTGCTTCCCATCGAAGCTTGCCGAGACTGAAAAACCAGAGAAATGACCACTCAGAACCTGTAGGTGTGTCCTCCACCAAAAAAAAAAAAAACAACCAAAACCGGGGGTGTGTGGGTGGGAGGGGTAACATGAAGAATCCCCTCAGTGCACCAATAGACAAATGTCAAGTACTCAGTGCTGACCCTCCTGGAAATCCCTGAGCCTTGGCTCACCCCTGCCTTTGTGTCAAAATCTACACACCCTTCCTGCCCCGTAAAGGCCCCTGAGGCCTCATAAAGGTTGAAATGACCCACATCCCACAGCTGCTGCCATGATCAAGACCCAGTTTCACAGCTTCGCAATGAATCCTGGAACATATGACAAGCCAAACCAATAGAACACCAGTATTTGGGCTGAAAACTGGGGCCCTTTCAGGAGGGGATGCAGACCAAAAATCATCCCAGTTTTACAGATCCCGTAGCTCCGGGAGTGTGTGGATGCAGACATGGGCGGCAACATCTCCAAATTTCACAATACTTATGGCCCAGTTGAAGCACAACAAATTAGATGAAAAAAATAAAATAGAAGACAACTAAGCTCAATAAACAAAAACAATAACACAGAAGACAAACAGCTTAGTAACCCCCCAGTGACTTTGATAACCCCATTTTGAGATATAACAATTTTTATGGCTTTTTGTTTACCAAACTATTTTTCAATAATTAGAGTAACCACTTCATTATAATAAGCAATTGAAATAAATTATTTTGTGCCTGTCAAGGGAGGAAGAAGGGGGTGGGGGTGCGGGGCTCAGTGGGAAACAGGACAAACAGGACAATGGTGGAGGGAAGGTTACACTGGTGGTGAGATTGGTGTTGGAACATTGAATGACCAAAACAATTTTATTACAAATAACCTTGTAAACCACAGTGTTAAATTAAAGTTTAAAAATAAAATAAAATAAGAACAAGGAAAGAGAGAGAGAGAGAAAGAAAGAAAGAAAGAAAGAAAGAAAGAAAGAAAGAAAGAAAGAGAGGAGGAAGGAAAGAAAGAAGTAAAAGAAAGGGGCTAATGTGAAAAAAGGGAGTGCCTCAAACTTGGGGCATACAAGAATCTTGGAGAACTCAGTCACACAAATACATTCAAGAAGGTGAGCCCTTGGGGGCTGGAGCGATAGCACAACAGGTAGGGCGTTTGCCTTGCACGTGGCCGACCTGGGTTCAATTCTCAGCATCCCATATGGTCCTCTGAGCACCACCAGGAGTAATTCCTGAGTTCAGAGCCAGGAGTAATCCCTGAGCATCGCCGTGTGTGACCCCAAAAAGCAACAAAAAAGGTGAGCCCCCAATTAAGGACTCCCTCTTAACCCCTGAGCCCCCTGAAGTTCATCTTGAGCCCCACTATTTAGCAGGAGAAAAGATCAGAAGGACCCACCTTCAACCTCAGAGGGCAGCTGGGATCAAGAACATAGCTCTCATGGGCCAAAGAGAGCACTTTGCCTTGTCTGTGTCTGACCCCAATTCAATCTCCAGTACCCTCTGAGTACCTCCAAGAATGATCTTTAGGCACAGAGCCAGGAGTAAGCCCTGGACACTGCTGGATGTAGCTCAACACTTCTTCCCCACCCCCTCCCCCTCCCCCCTTCCCCTACTACCACCCCCAGGAGGTGCCATGGTGCATGCAATCTGAGTACAGTGCTCAGAAAAAGTGCCCAAGAGACCCAAGAGGCAGTCAGGACAGTTTACAGATGGATTTGGGGGAGCCGAAGGCTGGAAGAACTTGAGATTTTTTCTGTGAGTGACAAGGGTGCCTTTGAGGTTTGAAAGCAGAGGTGTAGTCTGAGATTTGTCAAGAGCCAGTGTGGATGTCCGGGCTGGTGTTCTTGGTGTATTTGAAAGTTAGAGTCAGAGGACCTGCGGCTGGTTGGGAAGACGGGAGGAAAAGGAGGACAATCAAGGGTGAGGATTCTGTGCCCAACCTTCTTGTTCTGATCTGGAAGCAGCTATCTCTGGACCTCCTGGAGTGGTGGGGGAGGTTGGAGGGTGTCCGTGAGCACACCAGCTCATTAGGGACACTGGAGCTCAGCCCATGGAGGACAACCCGGCCTTGACCTCTGACAAACCTCCCAAGGATCAGAGACACCCAGGCCCTCTTCATGACACAGCCCTGGCTTACCCGACACCATCTCGCCACCGTAGCCCTGCTTGACCAGGGAGAAGACCAGCTTCTGCTGGTGGGCACAGTCGATGCAGGCCTGCACCGCCTGCTGCAGGACCGCTGATGGCCGCTCGGGCCCAAAGTGCTCTGGGAGCTGCTGCACCTTCCTCCGCGCCAGGTAGGGCCCTGCATCGGCCTGCTTGTTGATGTACAGTCGGACTGTGGAAACAGGGACCCGAGCCCTCAGCACCCAGCATGGCCATGTCTCATGCCCTTGGCTCTGGCCCGGGGAAAGTTGGTAAGCACCAAAGAAGACCCCATTCTTGCCGAATTAAGAATTAAAACTTGAGTGTTGGTAAATTCTAGTGAATGCTTTATAGATTTTGAATATCGGCCTTCTAGTGTGGGGATGGGAGGAGAGGGTGGGCAGTAGCCAGAGGAAGGGAGGCTGGGTTCCTTGAGGGAGAAAGATGGGAACACTGGTGATGGTGCAGTGTTGGAATTGTGTCTGTGAGAAACTATTCTCTATAGTATTTTAAGCCAAAAATAATAATTTTTGATTTTTAAAAAGAAAAAGAACCCTTAATATTACATCAATGATTTTAATGTTAAGAATCTAAAGAATAAGAAACATTTCAGTAGTTGTACTGCAAACCACAAAGAGAGAGGTGGGACGGGGGAGATGGAGAGAAGTATCTGCCATAGAGGCAAGCTGGGGCAGAGGAGGTGATGGGAGAAAAACTGGGGACGGACATTGGTAGTAGAAAATATACACTGGTGAAGGAACTGGTGTTGGAACATTGTATGACTGAAACCCAATAATGAACAACTTTGGGACTATGTATCTCACAGTGATTCAATTAAAAAAAAAGAGAGCGAGAATGAGAATTACACTTGTTTTCAAACTTAATAAATTTTCTTTTTTCTAACTACATAGAGAACATTTTCTTATACAAACTTTGTGAATAGAAATAATAAGAAGAAAATTATAGGAATAATAATAAAAATAAAATTAAAAGAGTGACCCCATTTGGATCTCTAGCACTGGTCTTGCCGAAAGTGATTCTTTTTTTTTTTTTATTAGTGAGACACCATGAGGTACAGTTGTAGACTTACAAATTTTTGTGCTTGGGTTTCAGTTATACAATGATGAAATACCCATTCCTCCACCAGTGCCCATTTCCCACCACCGATACAGATCCCAGTATCGGAAGTGATTCTTAAGCATAGAACCTGGTCTAAGCCCTGAGGACTGCAGGCTATGAACCAAACTGCCTCCACCAAAAAATAATTTAAAAAAGGAGAACCAGGAACAAAACAATAGTGCAATGGATAGAGAGTTTGCCTTGCACACAGCTGGGTTTGATCCTCGGCATCCCATGTGGTCTCTCAAGCACCGCCCAGAGTAATTCCTGAGCGCAAAGCCAGGAGTAGCCTCTGAGCACTGCTGGGTATGGCCCAAAGATTAAATAAATACATAGAAAAGGAGGACCAGAGAGACAGGTCAGGGGCTAAGGTGCTTGCTTTTTATGTGGTCAACCCCAGTTCAATCCTTAGCACCACATATGGTCCCTTAAGAACCACGTCTGGGACTGATGTATGAGCACAGAGTCAGGGGTAAGACTTGAGTACTGCAGGGCATAGGCACAACCCAAAAAATTAAAATTAAAAGAAGGGAAAGAATCAATGACCCTAACTACCAGGACTTTCTCTCAAGAGAGTCTCATCCTCACCTGTGTTTATGTGACTCTCTGGTTTGCTAAGTGTTGGGTGGGGAGCAGATCATCACGGCCCTGGAGTTCAGCTGGCACACCTACCTGTGAGAGCCTGTGGGACAGCCAGGCTGGGGATGGTGGCTGCATCCTGAGGGATGGAGCTGAGGTCAGGCTCTGGGGTACTGCATGGAGGTGAAAGAGCCAAAGGCGTCATAAGAACCTGAGTCTTGAGCTGAAAGAGAGAGGCCAATGGTCCATGAAAATCTAGAAATACTTCCCAAACCTTCCCAGAATCTTTCCTGGTCCAGGAAGGTAGGGAACCTGGTTGGGAGAGTTAAAAATGTGTCTATAGCAGCTGCCTGAACATCAGCAAGGGGGAACCAATATAGCAGAATTGAACAATCAACCCAGCTAGTCATGAGCATCCACCATGAAACACCAGCCTTGAGTTTGGGTTCTAGTTCAACTCAGCTGATCAAGAACCCGCTCTTAAGTTTTGTAGTAGATGTTTCTCAGAGCCTGCTTTTCCACCTTCTACAGGGAAGAATAATTGCTCCTCCCAGGAAATGGCAAGAATGAAAAGAAAACATTTAGTCGAGGGGTCATACAGGGAGATACTTCATTAATGTTAGTGATCATGATTGCTGTTAGTTTACTGTCGTTACTAGAGATCCCAGAGATGCGAAGGAGTTCCAAGTTTTTTGTTGCAGCAGTGTTGCAGAAGGGGGAAATTGCCCATCTTTCCTAGGATGCAGAGACTCTACACTACTTTCTACATGCAAGCACACACCCATAAGCCTTTGCACACCTGTTCTCCTCACACCTCATAGCAGATCGGCGTCCCAACAGTCTTATAATGGTACACAAGAATTGTTCACCCAGGAGCTGCCTGCTCTAAGTTGCATTATATAATCCTGAGCTTCTTAAACTAAGGGTGCAGACCTCAAATGGGAGATCACATAACTGAACATGAAGCTGACAAAAAAATCTTAAACATTGATTTTAAAATAAAATTCTTTATGTTTTATCATCAATAAATATTTTATTTTTCCACCTAACCAGTTTATATGGAGTCATAAACTTCTCTTGGGCAAAAAAAAAAAAAGGTCAAAAGTAGAAAACATTTAAGATTCATCATCAATTTAAGCGAATCTAAAAAATTTTACTAGCACACATCCCACTATTGCTGCGATCTAAGCTCATCTACTCGCCTTGTTTCAGAGGCTCATAAATAAATCTCGAAAGAGATCAACTAGTTAGAAAATTTTTTCAGACAACTATTCTCTGATGGGAACTTCTGGGTGATCTCAGGAGGGGTTCGGGCCAGCTCCTGCCCTTACAAACCCTCACCAGCCCCTCCCATAACCCAGAGTCACTGCCATGCTTCTGGCTGGCCTGCCCAGTTAAATATTATGGATTTTCTGGAGTGACATCTCCAAACTCTACAACACTGACATCCCAGTAGTAGCAGACCAGATTCTATGGGATAAAAATTACAAGCCAATCAATCTCAACTAACTAAACCATTAACACAGAAGGCTTAACTTGCAACAGCAGTTTAGTAAACCCTCAGATAAATACGGAGCTGGAGCCGGGAGTTAAGCCCTGAGCACCATTAAGTGTGGCCCCAAACCCAAAACATTAAAATAAAAACAAACAACATAGACATTTTCCCGAATGCTATTTAGTTAACTCAGAGGGAAGTGATGCTGGCTCTAGTTTTAAAGTTTCAAGACATTTTCCCTCTAATTCTCGAGAAGTGAAGCATCACAATAAGACAAGAGAAGTCCCGTGTGGGTGTGGGGAGAAGACAAGCAGGAGAGCACATGTGCTTTCTCTCCTAATGGTGAACTCATGAAATCTGTTACAGCCCTTGGAACACACTGGCCCAACACACAGGGCCAGGAGTGTTGCAGGGTATAGGGAGACCACAGGGGCAGATGTAGGACCAATTTCTAATCCTGGTTTTGTTTCAAAATTACATGGGATCCTCAGCAACTCATCTAGTGGCTCTTGGCTTCATCTTCCTAGGCCATCTAAAAAGGTAAAGATTTTGGTTTCTAAGTTCTCATCCGCCTCATCATGTTACATGTGTGTCACATTAGACTCCCTGGTAAGGCTCAAAAAAAAAAACCACTAAGAAATCTGAGGCAGAATCAATGTCAGTGCCATATTTTGGGTATTTTTGTTTGTTTGTTTGTTTTGGCTTGGTTTGAAAGCCACACCTGGTGGTACTCAGGGGTTACTCCTGGCTCTGTACTCAGGAATTACTCCTGGCGGGCTTGGGAGACCATATAGGATACCAGGGACCAAGCTTGGGTCAGCCTCCTGCAAGGCAAGCACCCTACCTGCTTTACTATCACTCTGGCACTCTGGGTCAGTACCATATTTTTAATATTGGTTAGAAAGGCATGTGGAGTATTGTTTCCAGGAATACAGAAAAGTAGGTTATGTAGATAAACCAGAAACAACTGGGGGCTGGACAGATATCAGAGGAGTTAAGTCACCTGCCTTGAGGACAATAGACTCAGTTCAATCCCCAGCACCATGTATGATCACTCCCCACCTCACCCCAGCAGTGCAAGGGGTCACTCCTGAGCACAGAGGCAGGGATAACTCTTGAGCACCTCTAGTGAGCTCAAACATGAAGAAAAAAACCCAATTGCAAATAATAAATAAAATGTAAGATTTATAAAAATATGAAAGTACTGACAAAGAAACCATCCAGGCCAAATATAGGTAAAACAGAGATCTTGGGAATTGCTATGGAAGGTTCTTGCCTTGCATGTGGCCATGGATTGATTCCTGGTGCCACATATGGTTCCCTGAGCTCTGCCAGAAGTGATTCCTAAGTACCATCAGGGACAAGTCCTGAGCACTACCCAATGTTGCCTCAGATTCCCCCCAAATTAAAAAAATTAGCTTTTCTGACAGTGCCACCCAAGAATGTAAAAACACAAATGCATATCATCTCTGGACAAGATCTTAAAGAAGTCCTCAAAACAATTTGTCAAGGTTGATGAACAACAAAGTTCAAAACACACAAGAACACAAGAAAGCAAGAAGCCAAAATAAGAAATAGACATAAAATTCCACAAATGTTTGCAGTACTCTTATCAGATTGGAGTATATGACATTAGATATAAAGAAGTCAAAGGATGTGTTTGAAAATATCTCAAGAGGGTATGAAACTATTTTTAAGACACAGCATAGTAAATTTGAAAAAGAACCAAATTTAACTTCTACTGATGAAAAATAAGATAACTAAAGTGAAAATCTAGATGGACATATATAACAGCATAACTAAAGAAAGAATTAGTGAACAGAGTGGTATCATAAGAAATTATCCAAAAATCAGCATAGAAAGAAACAGATAAAAATCACAGAGTTAAAAAGACATGGGTACTATAAGATTTTAACATTCAAGTTTCAGAAGGAAAGGAAACAGAGAATGTAGTAGAAACTAAATATGAAAAGAGAGTGGCAAAGAATTTTCCAGGTATGACCAAAATGTACAATTCACAAATATTAGAAGGTCCAACAAATCCTAAAGAATATGGATAAAAAAGAAATTCACAGGTAGACACAACAAAATGAATACATAGAACTGTCACTGTCACTGTCCTCCCATTGTTCATTGATTTGCTCGAGTGGGCCCAGTAACATTGTGAGACTTGTTACTGTGTTTGGCATATCAAATACATTTTGGGTAGCTTGCCAGGCTTTGCCATGCGAGCAAGATACTCTCGGTAGCTTGCCGGGCTCTCCGAGAGGGGCGGAGGAATTGAACTTGGTTTGGCCATGTTGGCTGCATGCAAGATAAATGCCCTACCCGAATATATAGAACACAAAGAAAAAATTTTCTGATTAACTTTAAGATGCAAAACCTTGTAGGCAACACCTAAAGTAGACTTTTACCACCATAAACCTAAAGACAAGTAGAATAATGTTTTCCATGTGCTGAAAGGAAATAACAACCTAAAATTCCACACCCAACAAAATGTTTTTTCTAAAAATAAAGAAACCTTGCAGTTTGCTGCAATGTGGATGGAACTGGAAGGTATCATGTTAAGCAAAGTATGTCAGGGAGGACAAGAACTGGGTGATCTCACTCATCTGTGGAACATAGAGAAACAAAACAAGGGCATAGACAGTTTTAAATGATGACAAACCCTTGACTTTGGATTACAGAGCTGAGTATTACCAAGCAGTGGGAGAAAGAAGAGGTGGGCTAGAAGTTACATGAGGACAGTGGAAGGTCTTTGGCACTTTGGTGGCGGTTTAATTTCATACATCTAAACCTTAAATGTTAATACTATTTATAACCATGTTACCTAAAATACAAAAACAATTTTAAAGAGATAAGATGTACTCAAGATTGCAGTTTCACTTGTATTCACTTAAAAGTAAATTGGTTAAAAATAAGCCAGGAGTCCCTTCCCCCCAGCCCGGTCCAGACCCGGAGTTGCCACCCACAAAGGCCTTCTCCTCTCCTGAACGGCCATGATTCCAGAGACACACAAACCAATTTGTGTGTCTCTGGACACACAACCCGGCCGCTTCTGGCAGAAATGTCTCTGGACTTAATTACTAAAATACCAAAAATCAAAAATCGCATGGCTGGGCTGGAGTGATAGCACAGCGGGTAGGGCGTTTGCCTTGCAGGTGGCCGACCCGGGTTCAATTCCCAGCATCCCATATGGTCCCCCGGGCACTGCCAGGGGTAATTCCTGAGTGCATGAACCAGGAGTAACTCCTGTGCATTGCTGGGTGTGACCCAAAAAGCAAAAAAAAAATAAATAAATAAAATTAAAAAATAAAAAATCGCGTGGCCACAATAGCGGCCACACATCATCATATATCTTCATTTTCAGCAATAGAAAACAAATTATCTAATGATGCCTTTTTGGCAGGTGTGATAGTTGGGAGGAAATTCCAAATAACAATAGTGGGTCTTTTGTTGAAAATTTGAATGTAATCAAAGTAAAGAGATACTGAGGTGAAAATCATCTGACACACAGGCAGGGGGAGGGGTGGGATGGGAGGTATACTGGGGTTCTTGGTGGTGGAACATGTGCACTGGTGAAGGGATGGGTGTTTGATCATTGTATGACTGAACATAAACCTGAAAGCTTTGTAACTGTTCTCACGGTGATTCAATTAAAAAAAAAATAAAAATAATTAAAAAATAAGCCAGGAGTAAGTCCTGAGCACTGCTGGGTATAGCCCCCA